ATGACTTGTTAACATACAATCCAATGGACTGGCTCTCGAGAAGGTCCTCCGGACACTTGAGCTACTTCCTTATTGATCGACGAATTATTGCTGAACTACTGAATATTTTTTTTTCCTTTGGTAAGTAAAATAAAGTGGATGCTTCCATTCGAAAGGACTTTAGATTTACTTTATTTATAATTAAATGTAAAATTTGCCTCATGACGTGTAACACATAACTAGAAATCAGTTTTAGATTTAGAACGAAACAAAAGGTTTTTTCCTATATACAAAACACTACAGTAGGTATAGTTTGAAAACTTGAAAGGGTATAACTTTGGAAGAAGGTTTTCCAGCATTTGTAGCACTGTCTTCCGGAGAAGACACAACTTGTGCTGATTCTACTGAAATCCAAACCAGCAACCAGAAACAATATCGAAGATTTTGTTTTGTTAAAAATAGTCATATTTAGAACTTCTGGCGTTTTCTTTTCAGAATTGATCAGAATTATAGGGTTATCAAGGAGTCTTACTCTTGATGTCATTTATATCTAAGCAAATTGATTTCAGCAATTCTTAAATCATATTTACTTGTACTCACGAGCAACTATGGATTGAATATCTTGTGTGTACTCTCTTATAATAGAACATTGAAGGAAATATAAGTGTTTGCTCTTTCTGTCCTTTTGTCTTCTGTTTTTCAGCAAAACCTTTTTCCCTTCACATAACTTTTGAACAATAAGTGCTCTGACTGTTATATTTCATATGCGTATTGCTCGTGACTAGGCCTTTCTTTGCGTAACAATATTATATATTTCACCTTTTGACTTTGACCTTTGAGTTTCACCTATTTTTGTAATTTTTTAATCTTTAACCGTGATCATTTCGTTAGAACAGTTGTCACTAGAGCTTTTTTAGTTTCAGAAGAGTGTTCCTTGTGGTGGGTTGCTTGTCATAATGCATAATTTGTTCCCTACCCTGTAAATGTCCAAGAATAAAGATTTTAAAACGTATGAAGTAGTTTGAATACCTTAAACCAGAACCATCTGACTTAATTTTTCTAATTTGGAAAGTGGGCCAAATTTTCATGTTATTTCTGAAACAGTTGGATTGTTTTATGTCTAAGAGAAAAGAACTATGAATGTTGTGTTTCTTTAAACATTTAATATAATGCAGTAGTTTACATTCGCTGTCTCTAGCATCGATATGAGAAATGCCATTGATGGTTATACATGTATGTTGGAACCCCAACCACTCCATCTTATGTATTTTAATTTTAAAATCTGGAATCATTCTACATCTTTAAGTTGTTTGAATTGCGTGATTTTCAGGAGTAGGGAAAACGCTACTGTATTCAAAGAATAAATTGGGGCACGAATGTCATGAATGATTACAGAAGCTCACTGACGCCATCACGCCAAAGATTCAAATGATGTTCTTTTGACTGCGGAGTTTTTATCGGACTATTGAGTGTTGTCTAATAAGTCTCTACATTTACGGCAATAGTCTTAAATATTCCCAAACACCACTAAGCACTAAAAAGTCAACAACAAAAAAAAAAAACTAAGGTTAGTTTCATGTTGGTTCAAATCATTACCTGTAATGCAAGAATGAACCTCAAAAAGGAGTTCAACCTCAAACATAAGATACATTGAAATTTGTCGGGGCGGGGGATGGGGTGGGGTGGAAGGGGGCATCTTTGAAATTCTTCTCAAATAAGCAGCACATGATTAGTCATAGAGATATGCAAGCATCACCAGTGAAAATGAAAAAAAAATTTTACATCGCTTAAGAAAAAATGTAAAAATTTTACCAATCATTTTCCATAGGGTATTTCACACACGTAGAAGTATTATTGTCCCCCGCTTGAAAAGTGGGGGATATTAATTTGGGTCTGTCCGTCCGTCCGTCTTTCTGTAACGCTTTCGTTTCCACACGATATCTCGAGAACCCTTTGAGCTTTCGCAATGAAATTTTGCATAGCAACTCCCTATGGACTAAAGAGGAACCCTATTGATTTTGAGGTCAAAAGGTCAAAGGTCAAGGTAATAAATTAGCAAATTCTGTCTTTTATAACACTTTCGTCTCCGCGCGATATCTCAAGAACTCTTTGAGCTTTTGCACTGAAATTTTACATAACAACTCCCTGTGGCCGAAGGAAGGCCCCTATTGATTTTTAGGTCAAAAGGTCAAAGTTCAAGGTTGTAAATTTATACATTCTGTCTGTATGAAACACGATCATTTTCGGGCGATATTTCAAGAAGATTTTGAGCTTTTGCAATGTAATTTTATACCAAAAATCCCTAGGACCTCTCTCCCCCTCTCAAAGTGTCCCGCCCCGTTTGTTTTATTAGTATTTATTGTATTACATGTCGCTATTTTTAGCACAGGGGCATGAGGAGAGTTATTACGTGTAAAACAGCTTCTCAGTGGACTTTATATTCTTATTACATCTATTAGAACTGTTTGATAAAGGTTAAATTAGATATCATGCATTGTGTAAAATTTTGACAATATCGAATGTTAATATATACATGTATGTGACTTCATCTTTGCATATAATTGCCACTGGTTTAAAGCGGCTCCGTGGTCTAGTGGTATGTCTCTCGCTTCACATGTGAGAGGGCCTGGGTTAGCATCCCGGGCGAACTAAGATTTTTTTTTTTTCGAAATACTTTTTTTTTTTACTAAATGATAGTATTCATGTGAAATGAAAAATTTATGAGGTCTGGCTTGTACAAACTCATAAAATCATCATTACAGTGTGATAAATATTCCCTATAAAAAGAATCTCCTATACACATAATAAAGAATAAGCAATCAAACCTTTATATCCATATTGGTATATTTTATTTGCTTCAGTGCACATGTACTTGTATACATTTAATAATTCTACAAATTCAGTAAAGGGGGTTTGTAAACGCATGGCTTACTTTTTCCCTTAGCGGGGGACACAAATTCTCTGAATTAGCTTGTTCGGTGTAAGACTTTTGTACCATATCCTCGGCGGAAGTAATATTATGACGATACAGAGCCTACTGTATGCAGAAAACACAAACATCAGTATTGCATATTATCGAATGAATCTTTGTGCAAAATACGTCAAGTAAACCAATATCTTTAACAATTCTTTTATTGTTGAACAAATTAAGAAAGTTTACTTTAAATTTCATTTAAAGCAGTAAGTGCTAGTATTTGAAAAGTGTTATTATCGTCTCAAGACTCTCATAAATGCTAGAAAGATGAATAATTCCACAGCGATGAACGATACCATAACTGGGTTTGATTTTTCTACGGCCGCCATTATATTGATATTGATAGTTGTTGTTGGAGGTTTGGGGAATACTTTAACAATCTACGTTATATGCAGATACACAGTGAAATCAGTGACTATTATCTACATCTTCAGTCTGGCAGTAGCAGATCTCACTTTTTTAACTACAGGAGTGCCTTTAATTTTATCTACCCGCAATACCAATTTTCTGGTATTGTTTGATGACGCAGGGATGCTTTTTTTTCGCTTATTTTCAGTTTGTAAGTAATTTGATAATGAATGCGTTAGCGCGTTATGAAAATTTGTTTGCACATACCATTGCTCTTATGAGACTATATCTTTAAAAACATAATGATTCATTGCTTATATTTAATTTTTATTTAATCCTTGCCTTGACAGCAAATGTGAAATATATTTGAAAATCCCTTTATTATCCTTCAAGTACGTTACAGTTAATGGATTAGCCAATAGGGCTGTATCAATATATCGATATATCGATACGTATCGATATTCAAGAAAAATATCGTATCGAAAAGTAACTTCCAATACGTATCGGACAGACTTTTTTCCTTCAAATTCTGTGTAAAAGATGGGAATTTCAATCATCAAAGATTATTTTTTGACTTTTTTGAATTAAAACCTTCAATGATTATATAATTTCTAAGGAAATAACGCAGTTTTTATAATTTTTACAAAATACAAAGAGAAATTTTTTTGAACATGTTGATTTTACTGTCCTCAAAAGTTTTAATCGAAGTGTTATTTTTAAAGACAATGGGACAAGAACTTTAAAATAGATAATAAAACACTGAAATTGTTATAAAATATATGCATTAAAATGATGTAGAAGCCTTTACTGATGGACTTGTTTCAGAATCCAATAAATCGCATATCGCTTTAAAAAATATTGTATCGTATCGTATCGAAATTTTTGGCTCAATACACAGCCCTATTAGCCAATGCAACAGCGTCTGTTCAACGTAAGCGTGACGTCAAAATAAAACGCATGCTTTAACCTTTTGACCCCCGGTCAGTGTTAAAGTGATTTGAATGCCTTATTGATTTCCACACATTTGGTATGCAAAATACACTTGTAAAGTAAATATAGGAATATGCACATTTATGTATACGTACCTAAAACTTATGCTTATTTGTGATTAAGAAGCCTCTCTTTTAAATACCCTAAACTATACTATGTACCAGAAGAATCCCCATAGTGACAATGGCCCCGATAGGACTGGAATGTGTACCTATAATATGCATTAATTACGACAAAAATTATGAAATGGAAAGTTTGATCGTTTTGCTGCTCAAATATTGGTAGATCAATCTCCCTTTATTCAAAGCAATATTTGTTTTTTTGCAATGTTTCTTTATCAAATTATGTTACAAGTTAAAAAAAAATCCTACGTTCGAGTCGATAACTTGGTTAACTTGGACCCAAACTAACGCATTTTAAGAAAACTTTTTAAAATACGCGATTTTTTAAAAACTTCTTTGTAATAAAGCATTAAAATATTTTCCAAAGCAATAGATAGTTTTAGAAGGACTCACAACAAAAACTGTATTGTACATGCATATAGATAGATAATGACACAACTGCAAAATTGTATTCCGAAAAGGAGAGCTAAGTCTGTCTTTGTTGAATTCACAATTTTTAAAAAAGAATTAGTCTTTTCATGAGGACAAAAACGTGGAAAATGAATAAGAGCATAATATTTCTGCACACAGTAGTAATTTTTACACAGGCAACGCTGCACGTGACTTGTTGGACATTGATGGCGATGACCATTGACAGATACCTGGCCATTGTGTATCCGGTAAAATCATTGAAATGGAGGACAACGAAAACATCAGTAAAGGTCTCCATAGGAGTGTGGATTGGTGAGAAAAATTGTTTATAACATAAAGAATTTAGACAATCGTTTACCACAAGACTATTCATATTAAGACGCTTAATTTCACATAATAAATATAACGAGAAAAAATTTATTGTAAAATATAAAGGTAAATTAAAAAGAACATGTACAAAATACAACACATTTTTTATCTGTTGTAGTGTCTGGTTTGTTGTCGTTGCCAACTGCATTCCCCTACACACCTGACTCGGACGTCTTAGATGCGGTCGCGGTCTACATCTTTTTGACGTCATTCGGAATTCCTCTGCTTGTTATCATAATTTGTTACGTGAAAATTATCAGTTTCATACATAAAAGAAACAAGGAGATGCTTCTAAAGGTATATCAAATAATGTTTCTTTCATACATCTATATGTGTATAAGGATGCCCATTTCAACCAATAAACCGATTAACAGGTCTGAACGAAAGTAGTCGGTAAAACAAATCTTTCAGAATTGCTACAGTCGCTCGCATGTCGTTTGTTTAGAGTGTCTGCTCTAGTGTCGTGGAGTAAGGAGTTGATCCTTTTGTCGCTTGTTCGAATCCCTGTGTGGGACGTGGAGACTGATTCTTCGGATGAGACTGTATAAACCGAGGTCTCGTGTCACAGTATGTACAGGCACGAAAAAGAACCCTCACTGCTCACTGCCTCACTGCTCAACGCTGAGTTCCGAGTATAGGTCAAAATTTGCAGCTCTCCAACTGCAAGTAGTGGCGTCTCCATGTGTGTGAAAAATTCTCGATAGGGATGTTAAACAATAAACAAACAAACAAAGAAAACGGATACTTTTGTGTAAAAGTTTCATAAGTTGATATAAAACACGTTCATTCCAAAGTTGATATGAAGTCCATTTTGATTAAACTTGCAAAGTTATTGCACCTGTAAAGATCCACCAGGAACCTTTCATTGACAAACAGTTGAAAAACTATAACTACATCTAAAATATTTCCAAAAATATGCTAGTATATAAATATAGGCATTTATTATTTCTTTTTTCTTTTTAAAAAGTATTTGTCCCCAAGAAAGGTATTTTTAATGATCTCATCCTAAAGTTGAGCACTAAAGTCGGGTATTAAACTTTCATTTTTTTTTTTTCATGATCGCCTACTTAAGAATATTATAAAGACATTTTAAGATTGAAGGTATATTTAACCTGTGACGAAAGGTGACCTTTCTTCGTATTCATTAGATTCCTAACAACTATTAAAATCCCGTCATTTTTTCATTTAAATTACCTGTAAAATACCCCGGTAATTATTCAATGTTGTTCAAAGAGCTTTAAAAATCGTCATTACACAAGATACAGTAGGAACATTTGTACTTGATTCGCGATCGCTCCGTCATTTTTGTGGAAATTTTTTGCACACCTAAATATTAGCTGGTAAAGGATTCATAGTCTTCTTATTTTAGATATCGGAAAAAGAAAGTAACATGATTATTTGTTTTGTTAGACAGGGGGAACAAATACTATGAAGAAAACCAGAAGAGTGGTAAAGATGGTGGCTGTTTTAATTCTCGTGTTTGCTTTTTCATGGGCTCCGATGCAAGTTCTAGCCATGTTGAGGAATATAGATCCCAATTTTACAAATTCTTTACAGTTTCATGTAATTAAAAATATTGCATGCATTTTAGCGTATGCTAATTCTTCCATAAATCCCTTTGTATATGCGTTTATGAATATGAAAATAAGAAAAGCTTTGGCAAGTAAATTAAGAATAAAGCCTGCTCCTAATTTGACCAAAGCTACATTGTAACTGCTGAAAAGTGTATTTTCTTTGTTCATGTTTACACACATACCCGGTGCCTGTATATAATTAAAAGTCTCCATTATGCAGAATAAATGTTATTCAGTTGTACAGAAAATATAAAAGTGAAATATTTTCATGATAAAACCTAACAGTGGTCATGTATGGCAGATTAAGTCCTATTGAGAATGAGTGAAAGATTTTATTTTTTAATTCTTTATTTATTTTACACAATCTGTTTCACAATTCATAATACAAAATTTAATATATTACAGATTGGTTTTTGAGAGAGAGAGAGAGAGAGAGAGAGAGAGAGAGAGAGAGAGAGAGAGAGAAGAGAGAGAGAGAGAGAGAGAGAGGAGAAAGAGTGAAAGAAAGAAAGAGAGAGAGGGAGAGTTTGCATGTTTTAAAATTCCTTTACATAAATAAGTTTTTTTTCATTTAATAACATTTTATGAAAACATTTGATTCCACAGATTCCAGTTGGTGTCAAACATCTCTCTGTCACCATTCTTATATGCTAAATATTTTTGAGTTTCATAAAAAAGTTTAATATGTGAAGTCGCAAGTCTGACATCTAATTTTTTTCTAAACATCTCATTGTATATATATAATATTTTATCCATAGGGCCATTAAGTTATGAATATCTTTGTTTTTTACTAGAAATCCCAAAATAAAACTTTGCTTCGTAAATGAAAGTTGCAACCCTGTCCTTTGTTCACAATGTCTTTCAAAACTGTTGAGGAAGGTCTGTACATTGTCACACTCCCATAAAATATGTATTATTGTTTCTTCTTCCATATTACAGAAAGAACATAAGTTATCATCTCTTTTCCTAATTTTACATAGATATGAGTTTGTACCTAGTATTTTATTTCAAATTCTGTATTGAAACCATTGAAGTTTACTATTTTTTGTAATTTTAAATGGAAGTTTAAAAATCCTTTTCCATTCACTTTCCCCTAAATTAAAAATATCATTCCATCTTGTTTTCCCAGTGGGTTCAATATCATTTACATTAATTATTTCGTAAAACTGTTTTGCTTTTTTACACTTTGAAAGAATATGAGTGTTGGGCAAAATTAATGGGTTAGGTAATTTTGCAATTATATCATTAGTTTCTGTTGCTTTCATCCATGCCTTTACAGCATGTATTATACCTGCAAATTCTAAAAAATTAAGCCTTACATTTGGATATATGCCACAAAATTCCTCATAACTATAACAGGAACCATTTTCATCTATACGATCATTAATAAATCTAATATTCAGATCATACATATTTTTGTTATAAATGATTTTCCACCAATGACAATTTTAGAGTTATAAAAAAATTGGTATGTCTCCTGCAACCTTACATACATTATAGTGTTTATTATCTAATTCAACCCAAGCTTCAAAGACATCTTTCCAAAACTTGTTTTTACGGTTCTTCATGACATTTTTAATATATTCAATGCCGCATGTTAATATTTTTGTCAAATCTATATTAGGTAAAAAGTTTTGTAAACCTTTATCTGACAGAATAAGCTGTCTCATCCAAAATAACTTAAGTGATGCAGTGAAAGCTCGAAGAGAATGAGTGAAAGATGGTTTAGACAAAAGAACTCTTGTTGAATGGGTCTACATGCATATCTTTACATATGGTTCTAAATCTGTTTTAAGGTCGAAAGAGTTTGATTTCTACATTATTATTTATGTTTTATATTAGATCTAATATGACATGTTGTAAAGACATGTATGATATTCTTATTAATAAAAAGAAAGAAACAAAAACTTCAATTTTATAATGGATTGATTGATTGATTGTATACTGTTTAACGTCCCTCTCCGGAATATTTCACTGATATGGAGACGTCACTATTGCCGGTGAAGGGCTGCAACTTTAAACTTAAGATAAAGGAGTCTCCGGCTTGCAGTTTCTTTAAGACTGACATTGAGTCAATTGAACATCTTTTTGTTGAATGTCATTCAGTAAACAAGAGGCCCATGGGCCACATCGCTCACCTGAGAAGCTTTGAACATTCTGTTCTTTACCAGATTTCCCCCTTGTTATACATATTGTGACCCCACCCTACCCAACTGATCATAATTTAAACAATTTGAAATCTACACTACCATAGCATGCTTTTATTCAACATTGTAAAACTTTGATTCCCCATTGTGGCCCCACCCTATCCCCGGGGGTGACATGATTTTTACAATTTAGAATCTACACTATCCCAGGATGCTTCCACATAAGTTTCTGCTTTTCTGGCCCAGTGGTTCTTGAGAAGAAGATTTTTCCTATATATTTCTATGTAAAACTTTGATTCCCCATTGTGGCCCCGCCCAACCCCCGGGGATCATGATTTGAACAATTTAGAATCTGCACTACCTAAGGATGCTTCCACATAAGTTTCAGCTTTTCTGACCCAGTGGTTCTTGAGAAGAAGATTTTCAAAGATTTTCCCTATATTTTGCTATGTAAAATTCTGATCCCCCATTATGGCCCTGCCCAACCCCTGGGCGTCATGACTTTAACAATTTGGAATCTACACTACCCTGGGATGCTTCCACATAAGTTTCAGCTTTTCTGGCCTAGTGGTTCTTGAGAAGAAGATTTTTAAAGATTTTTCATATATATTTCTATGTAAAAATTTGATTCCCCATTGTGGCCCCGCCCAACCCCTGGGGATCATGATTGAACAATTTAGAATCTATACTACCCTGGAATGCTTCCACATAAGTTTCAGCTTTTCTGACCCAGTAGTTCTTGAGAAGAAGATTTTTAAAGATTTTTCCTATATATTTCTATGTAAAAGTTTGATTCCCCATTGTGGCCCCGCCCTATCCCCGGGGGTCATGATTTTTACAATTTAGAATCTACACTTCCCCAGGATGCTTCCACATAAGTTTCAGCTTTTCTGGCCCAGTGGTTCTTGAGAAGAAGATTTTTAAATTTTTTCCTATATATTTCTATGGAAAACTTTTGTTTTCCTATTGTGTCCCCGCACTATCCCCGGGGGTCATGATTTTTACAATTTAGAATCTGCACTACCTAAGAATGCTTCCACATAAGTTTCAGCTTTTCTGGCCCAGTGGTTCTTGAGTAGAAGATTTTTAAAGATTTTTCCTATATATTTCTATGTAAAAATTTGATTCCCCATTGTGGCCCTGCCCTATCCCCCGGGGATCATGATTTTAACAATTTAGAATCTGCACTACTTAAGGATGCTTCCACATAAGTTTCAGCTTTTCTGGCCTAGTGGTTCTTGAGAAGAAGATTTTTAAAGATTTTTCCTATATATTTCTATGTAAAAGTTTGATTCCCCATTGTGGCCCCGCCCTATCCCCGGGGGTCATGATTTTTACAATTTAGAATCTACACTAACCCAGAATGCTTCCACATAAGTTTCAGCTTTTCTGGCCCAGTGGTTTTTGAGAAGAAGATTTTTAATGACCCCACCCTATTTTTGTTTTTTCTTCATTATCTCCCCTTGTGAGGGGACTTGGCCCTTCATTTTCACAATTTAAATTTTCCTTCACCCATGGATGCTTTGTACCACGTTTGGTCAAAATTGGCCCAGTGGTTCTTGAGAAGAAGTCGAAAATGTGAAAAGTTTACAGACGGACAGACAGACGGACAGACGGACGGACGGACGACGGACAAAATGTGATCAGAAAAGCTCACTTGAGCCTTCGGCTCAGGTGAGCTAAAAAGCTTTGGAGTAATATTGGTGTAGTTTTGTGTAAGTTTAACAGATCTGTCGTTTTTGACAGAACAACATTATTTTTGGCAAATATAGGAATAAGGAAGTCCATAAAATGCAAAATTTAATCATTCTGATAACTATAAAAAAAATTATTTTTTCGACTAAATATAAATGTAAATACAAGTATAAAAATGATAATAGAATGCTAACATTATTAGTTTAACTCAGAAAATTTAGCCGTTTTTTCTCTTAATTCGAAATTACTCTGATTTATTTGTCTATTGTTTCTTTATTCTTCTTTGTTCAGGATTTTACATTTGCAAATATCCATACACTGCAGATTTGTATTTTTTCCTCTAAATCTCACTATTCTACAATTGAATGATGGTGCAGCTGTAAGTTAAAAGTCAAAATGGTGATTCAAAATGGCGGATATTCCTTTTTTTCAAATTATTTCTAAATGTCGTTTACATCGGAGAAATGATTTGTGAATATCTTACTGAGCGAGTACAATTAACTGATGTAAAATTCCAATAGAACACTAATATGAACACTTTAAAACGGAAAATTTAGTCGCTTAGATTTAAATGTGTTAATTAGCTCAAAACTCAAAATGACGTCATATTCACTCGAACTGCTTAATTTTGAAAATAAATTACAGTTTGTTTTTTATATATAATTATAGTATATTGATTATTCCATTAAATATGAACAAACAAAAAATATCAGAAAAGATTCATTTTTTTCTGGAAATAGTTAAAACAAACTCGACTTAAGAGTTTCCAAATTTTTCCCCTCGTATTTGACCGTGTTCCAAAGCCTTTGAGTCCCCGTCCACCTAAAATCACTCCTGAATCCAGTCTTTATCAAGTCGCATTTCTACCTCAAACATCCCTCAGAATACCATCAAATATAACTGAGGAAATTCTTTTCCGATTTCATCGAATACTTTGTTCTAGCTTTTTAGCACTTATAAGAACTTAGTATTATCCCCTAACATCTTCTATTCCAGCTTTATTTTATATGTTTCACTCTGTCTTCGGAATTTTGGTATTTCTAACACTAAAGTAAAACGGTGCCCTGTGTCAAAGATGACAACCCACTTGGCACGTAAAAGATCTTTTCTCTGGAGTTCGAAAAAGAGTAAGCTCACAGGGGGCCACCAGAGAAACCAAAATCCTCCAAAAACCGATTATTTAAACTGACAGTCCGCCCAAACATGGCTGAAAATAGCCGACTCTGCGTTAAACAATATACAATTAATCAACACTCAAGGAACAATACATTTATGTTCAAATGTTAAAAGTCTATTTTGTTTTCCAAAACCTTATGCAAAATGAAGAAGAGGTACTGTGAGCAATTAGTTCACTAAATGATACCTCCGTCACCCATTTGAATACACAGTGTCCATGTTTTGCTACGTGAAACCCAAAATATATGTTGGATCAAAAAGTAAAAGAGGAGGTGCACAAAGGCAATATGTAATAAAGATTCTGTGAAAGTTTATCAAATTTCATTCAGTGGTATGAGACGCGTTGCGGATAAGAGACGGATACCCCAAGACGTAAAAGACGGACGGGCGGACATACCGACTACTCTATACCATCCCGCTTTTCAATCGGGGGGGGGGGGGGGGGAGGGTGTAAAAAAAATCTCTGATATTCAAGACATGTAACTCCTTATTTCGTGACCGCGTATAGATTTGTTTTCTTTTAGGGTAGAAAGGTCATTCTATTAGCAAGAAAATTCTCAAACTTCATCATCTGGAATCACATTGTGTGCATATTTTGGTGAGAAAAGTTGTAAAATTGTGCAGTTTAATAGCGCCTGCAAATTCCTCGTGATTCCTATCACTTACAAGCTTTCGTACCAATAGGCCTAAGCCATTCTTGACTTCGATCTAGTCAACACTTCTCTTGACAACAAAATTTGATATACATTATTACTCAACACTTCTCCAACCACGAAATCATTTCCCCAAACATCGACAAATTTTCTCAAACCTCGAAATTTGCACCCACGAAAATATGTGATTTTACAGTTTTCTGTGTTTGGAGTTGAACTCTTTTTATGGGTTCATCCTTTAGCCAGCCTTTGGGGAAATGAATCGAACCAACTTGAATCTTAGCTCGGTTTGTTTTCTGATTGATTTTCTGCCAAGTGATTCTTTTGAAGATATTTAAAATAATTTTATTATTGCCGTACGTAAATGAAGAAAGTTATTTGGCAACACTCAAATATCCGATATTACATCAACAGGAGGTCATTTAAATCATTGGCGTAGGTGAGCTTGTAAAATCATTCAGGACATTTTCGGCCCATGAGTTGGAGATTGGGCTAGGTTGATCATAATGATTTTTTCCGGACTTTTTATATCCTCGGAACCAATGGTTCAGTATTCATACAATAAGTTTTCTCAAAGTATACCACTGTATAAGTCAAAATTTATTCTTTGAATACCAGTAGCGTGTTGCTTTTTCCTGAAAACCAGGCATTAAAAATCTTACAAATATAGAACTATTCCAGATATTAGAATTAAAATACAAAAAGATTGAGTAATTGGGATTCCAAATCAAATGGATACATCAATGGTAGCTAAAATCAGCGAATTTAAACTACTGTATGAAAATAAATATCTAAAGAAATACAATATGCATACTTTTCTTAAACATGAAACAGTCAACCCGTTTTTTGAATTCTCCGGTAGCGAAGATGTATGGGAAACCCTTCAACAAATTGTAAAATTAAATTCAATAATGCAGGTCCAATGTTGGGGCTTAATTGATTATATTTGCATGCCGGTATCTAACAAGCATAATTTTTCAAATATTTTGCACGTTATATAAGAGATAATTATTCTTACATATTGGTTAGAATTCAAATTGACTTACGAAGATTTTTTACAAGAAAAATTGACATGTTTTGTGAAACACTGATGCCCACGTATCGCAGTGAAAGGCGAAGGTAAAATTTTTGCATATAGGTCAAACTCCAAGGTCAAGAATTCTAAAAATTTTAAGCCCAATAAAAGAACTTGTCACAAGGAATATGCATGTGAAATGTAATAGCTTTGGTACCAATCATTAAGAAAATAAGACCAAGGTAAAAGTTTTCCAAAAAGTAGGCCATAAGGTCAATGGCAAAAGGACAAATAAAAATACCAAAGAAAGGTCTTGTCAAACGAAATTTACAAGTGAAATATGAAAGTCTTAGCAGCACTTGTACAAAAGTTATAAACAAGGTTGAAGTTTTTAAAAAATGTTTGTCGGGCTCAAAGACCCAGAGTGAATAATGTTGCTACCCAAAAAGTTCTTGTCATAAGTAATACACATGTGATACACGAAATTCCTAGCAACCACCGTTCAGAAGTTTTGGTCAAAGTTAAAGTTTCTAAAAAGAAAGTCAGACTCAAAGTTAAAGGTTAAAATATTGGCGTGGAATTAAAGATATGGAAGCATGGAATACACTTGTGATATTAAAATGATCTAGCTACAACTGCTAAAGAGCTATGTCCATTGTTAAAGATTGGAATGGTCGAAAATACCGGTAGTTCAAACTCCAAGGTCAAGATCAAAAGTTAAATATATTTGTATGCAAAGAAATGCATTCTTACTAGAAACACATGTAAAATATAAAAATCAAAGCATTTATCATTCAAAAGTTATGTTAAAGGTTTTTTTCTATAAAACAGAGGACAATCCAACGACAGACCTAAATCTTTATCCCCCAAATTTTGTATTACGGTTGCATAAAAACACATATAATTCATTCCACGGTTACTCCTGAGTACAAGAAAAAAATGATTAGACGGACTAAACCAACTGCTAAAAGCATTTTGTTTGTTTGTATGTTGTTTAACGTTCCTCTCGAGAATGTTTCACTCATATGTATACGCCACCACTTGCCGGTGGAGAACTGTAAATTTTATGTGTACTCGGCAATTACGGCCATTGAGAAGTGAGGGATTTTATTTCCTTTCAGCACATACTGCGACACAGGACCTCGGTTTATACGGCTCATGGGAAGGACTTGTCTTCAGGTCCCACAGGAGAATTCGAACCTGCGAGGTAAGGATCAACTCCTTACTTCGCAACTCTAGAGCAGATGCTCTAACCACTGCGCCCCGCGGTCGACTACAACTGAAGTAATTTGCTAAAAAATAAATAACACCAGGAATAAGATTTCCTTGCTAACCCTATAATTCTGATCAAATCAGAAAAAAACTCAAATGTCCTAAAAATGACTAAAATTAACAAAACAAAATTTTCCGTCTTATTTCTGGTCACTAGTTTGGGTTTCAGCTTTGTCTTCAAATGGATGCACTGCTACATATTCTGACAAAACAGGTAACAACATTGTCTTTGTTTGTAAGCCTCATAATTCTAAATGTATTTTAGATTGATTGATTGATTGATTGATTGATTGATTAATTGTATATGGTTTAAGTTCCACTCGAGAGTTTTTCACTCATTCGGGAGGAACAGTCACTACATGTACCTATGTTTACCTCTTATGTTTGACGCGGCGCCGCGAACGAGAATCTAACCCGGGCCTCACGATCACGAAGCTCTACCACTAGACTTCCGCGACCGGTATCTGTATTTTAGAGGAACGAGATTTAATTTTACAAACAAAGTTTTGCGAATGACTATTGCTCTCTTTACATTTTATTACTGTTAATTTATTTTTAAGAATAATATTTTTGCTAATGCAATAAACTAGCAAATTTTGTAAAAAAAAAAAATTCTTCAGCAAAAATTTCCAGATTTACGGAATATCCGATTCAAAAAATTTCATAAATAATCTCTGTAAACAAAAATATATAGCGGCTTCCAGTAAATTTCTACAATCCTTTTTTCCTTATAGCCCTTAGTAAAAAATTATTAACAGTGAAGGAGAAACTTCAAGAGTACTGAATAACGATATATTCGAGAAGTGGTATAAAACTTATGTGGATAGAAACCCTATACTTGAGAAGTAAAAGCAATTGTTGTGGCTTTCATTTCGACATTTAGATATATCAACGACTTTCCATTATTATCAATTAACAACAGTTATTTTCATTTATATGTCGACACGATATATCCCAGTGAGTTTGAGATAAGAGCTCCACAGAGTCTGACAAATCTGTTTCATATTTGCTTATTTACTTTCTTGAAAAAGACACTAATATTAAGCTAATAACAAAGCTTAAGATAACCTTGACGACGTTAACATTTCAACGGTCAACTTCCCTTACTTATGCAGCAATATACCTTCATCAATGGCATACGGGTTTATATGTATATCTCTCAATTGATTTGAAACGAAAGAGCATGCTCTACGTATGAACAATTTCTAAAACGAGGCAAGTTATCGACAAACAAGTTCATGAATCAAGAATCTCAACAGTCTCCTTTAAAACCATCACTTCTGAAGTTCAATGGTCGATACAATTTTCTTGTCAGCAAATACAGTCTATCATTAAGTCAAATGCTGACTGACCTTTTTTATACTAATTGTAAATCTATTATTTACACACTGAACTGTCGATGGATTTACCATTGATCTCGACAAGAAGCACACGACGGAATGACTGCAGAGGATACTTACTCCTCCATTCCACCTGATCTCACCTCTGATGTTTTTGGAGGTTCATTCTTGCTCTGCTCCTGAATTATATTGTTTGAATGGCCTTTTGACCTTGATAAATGGTCATTATCTTCATATATTTTTTATGCCGGAAAACCCTCCAAAGTTACCTTTTCAACTGTCAAGCTACATGTTCTCAGCATTTTATGTAAGGAAAACTTGTCCAACAGATTCCCAATTGTCTTGTTCTAAAATGTCTTCCCAGTTATAAATTACATGTCATGAGGCAAATTTGACTTTCACCCAATACAGTTAATCTGAAGCTTTGAAAAGAAGTCCTTTAGTTGGGAAGTATTCAGCTTACTTTACCTACCAAAGGAAAACTATTCAGTAGTCCACCCATAATTCGTCGATTAATAAGGGCGTAACTCATGTGTCCTGATGATATGCTCGACGACATGCTAGTCTGTTGGATCATATGTTAACAAGTCTAAAGATTCTACTGCAGACACATGTATTTCTTGGACTGTTACAGTGTCGCTGTTGCTGAGACGCAAAGAAACTAAATATAACATTTTGCTAAATCTTTAGTGGACAAGAGGGCAAGTGCAAATATCTAGAAACCTGACCTTCATCAATACTTTTTTAAAGTTACACAACAGATAAAAACAAGCCTGTAACAATGGAAATTAATTTTATTCAACAAAAAGTACTACCACAAAATATGCTATCTGTCATTCATTGTTAGTTTTTATCATTAATATACTCCACCATTTTACTTTTATATTTTCTGTGCGATTAAATTACATTTTTCTGCAAAATGTTTTTAAAATAACAAGAACAAAGAAAATACACTTGTTAGCAGTTACAGTGTGGCCAGCAGTTAAAGTGTGGCATTGGTCAATTTCTAAACACGGTCATGCTTTATGCATAATTTACTTGCCAAAGCTTTTCTTATTTCCTTATTCATTAATGCATATACAAAAGGATTTATGCAAGAATTAGTATACGCTAAAGTGTTTAAAAACTTTCTAAGTATATCAAACTGTGAAGGATCTGTAAAATTGGGATCTAGATTCGACAACATAGCTAGAACTTGCATCGGCCCCCATGAAAAAGCAAACAGGAGAATTAAAATAGACACCATCTTGACTGCTCTTCTGGTTTTCCTCACAGTATTCTGACAAAAAAAAAAACCATAAAGTCACTTTCTTTTTCTGATATTCAATTCATAAGACTTTAAATCCTTTACCAGCTAAACTTAAGGCATGCAAATGATTTCACTTATTGACAAAGCGATCACGGATCAAGTATAAAGGTTCTTACTATATTTTCTGTAATGACGATTTGAAAGCTCCTCAAACATTATTGAACAATTACCAGGGTATTTTACAGTTAATGAAAAAAAATACAGGAAGTTAATTTACTTAGAATTCCTTTTAAAAATACGAAGGAAGATAACCTGCCGTCAAAGTTGTCTTCAGTACTCAAGTTAAGGATGAGGTAATTAAAAATACCTTTCGTGTGGGAACAAATAATATTTAAACATAAAAAAGCAGAATGCCTTGATTGATATATATTTTTGAAATATTTTAGTTCTAAATGATCCTCATATCAAATATCTTAAATATTAAGAAATTTTAAGCATTATATATTAGTTTTATGAATTTTGAAGAAAGTATGTTTGTATCATTTGTCATTAAATCCATTTGTCAATGAAAAATTTGGTGGATCGTTGCAGGTACTCAGTGTAAGGTCCAATAGCTTTGCAAGTTTAATCAAAATGTCCCTTTTTCAACTTTGAAAGTTAAGTGTTTTATATCAGCTAATGCAACATCTAAAGCTATAACTATCAATTCTGAAAGATTTATCTTTGCTGATTACCATCGTTCAGACCGGTTAATCGGTTAAAAATGGGCATCCATATATATATCTAAAAAAGAAATACTATACTTGTATACCTTTTGAAGCATCTCCTTGTTTCTTTTATATATGACACTGATAATTTTCACGTAACAAATTATGATAACAAGCAGAGGAATTCCGAATGACGTCAAAAAGATGTCGACTGCGACTGCATTTAAGAAGTCCGAGTTATACGTGTAGGGGAGAGCAGCTGGTATCGACAAAAATCCAGAGACTACAAAAGAATTTTAAATGTGTTATATTTTGTACATGTACTTTTTTATTTATCTTTTTATTAGGTCACCTGAGTGACTCAGGTGACATATTGCTATCCATTTTCGTCCGTCGTCGTGCGTCGGGTGTCGTGTGCCGTGTGTTAACATTTGAACATTTTCAGCTTCTTCTCTGAAACCGCTCAACCAATTTCAACCAATTTTGGCACAAAGCATCTTTGGGTGAAGAGGAACAAAAATTGTGAATTTCATGGTCCCCGCCCCCCTGAGGGGTGGGGCCAAAACCACTAAAATTATTGCAATCTTTAAAAATCTTCTTCTTTACTCCTGGACAACAAGCAGGCAAACTGTTGGCATGAATGTAATGAGCATTGAGTCCTCTACCAAAATTGTGAAATTCATGGCCCCCAGGGTAAGGGGTTCTAGTGCTAGGGCGGTGCCGTGTTGATTATACAGTGAAAATGCATGATTTCTTTGAAAATCTTCCTCTCTGCTTCTGGGTATTAAATAAACAAACCAAACACATAGTTATGATGAGCAAGAGTGCCTCTTCCAAAATTGTGAATTTTATGACCCCAGGGTCAGGGGTTCTGGTGTTAGGGCAGGGCTCTATTGGTAGTATAGTGAAAATGCATTTATTCTTGGAAAATCTTCTTGTCTACTTCTGGGTATTAAATAAACTATGTAAGTAAATAGTTATAATGAGCAAGAGTGCCTCTTCCAAAATTGTGAATTTTTTGGCCCCAGGGTCAGAAGTTCTGGTGTTAGGATGGGACCCTATTGATTATATAGTGAAAATGCATTAATTCTTTGAAAATCTTCTTCTCTGCTTTCGGATATTAAATAAACTAACTAAGCACATAGTCATGTTGATCAAGAGTGCCTCTTCCAAAATTGTGAATTTTACGGCCCCAGGGTCAGGGGTTCTGGTGTTAGGGCGGGGCTCTATTGATTATATAGTGAAAATACATTAATTCTTTGAAAATCTTTCCTTTGCTCCTGGGTTTTATGCCAATGATCCAAGTATATATATTTATGATGAAGAAAGGTGCATCTAGCAAAATGATTATTTTTTATGCCCCCCCCTCCCTGGGTCGGGGATTGGGGGGGGGGGGGTTACAAAGTCTGAAAATAAATTAATGCCTTGAAATCTGCTCTTTGGCATTAGTTAACCATTTTATGATAAAATTTGCAAAATTTTGAAATATGTGGCCCCAGGTTCAGTGGTTTCTTTGGGATGAGGTGCACAACTGGTTCTAAAGTGGAAGTGCATTTTCTCTTAATGTTACTCTGATCTACCTCTGGGTATTAAGTAAATAGAGTAAGCAATCTAAGTCTATAATTATGATAAGCAATGGTGCCTCTTTCAAAATTGTGAATTTGTGAATTTCATGGCCTCTGGTTTAAAACACGAACGAAAATTGAATTGTTTGAAAGTTGTTGCACAATACTCAGGTGACCTATAAGGCCCGTGGGCCTCTTGTTAGCTCACCTGAGCCGAAGGCTCAAGTGAGCTTTTCTGATCAAAATTTTTCCGTTGTCTGTCGTTGTCGTTGTCGTAGTCGTTGTCGTTGTCGTCGTAAACTTTTCACATTTTCATCTTCTTCTCAAGAACCACTGGGCCAATTTCAACCAAACTTGGCACAATATATCCTTGGGTGAAGTTTTTGTTCAAATGAAGGGCCACGCCCTTTTCCAAGGGGAGATAATCATGAATTTGTTAAAAATTAATGGCATTTTTAAAAAATCTTCTTCTCCAGAACCACTGGGCCAGGAAAGATGAAACTCATGTGGAAGCATCCTCAGGTAGTGTAGATTCAATTTTGTTCAAATCATGACCCCCGGGGCAAGGGTGGGGCCAAAATGGCCGACCCAAGTTTTACATAGGAATATATAGGAAAAATCTTTAAAAATCTTCTTCTCCAGTACCACTGGGCCAGGAAAGATGAAACTCATGTGGAATCATCCTCAGGTAGTGTGGATTCAAGTTTGTTCAAAGCAGGACCCCCGGGGCAAGGGTGGGGCCAAAATGGCCGACCCAAGTTTTACATTGGAATATATAGGAAAAATCTTTAAAAATCTTCTTCTCCAGAACCACTGGGCCAGGAAAGATGAAACTCATGTGGAATCATCCTCAGGTAGTGTAGATTCAAGTTTGTTCAAATCATGACCCCCGGGGCAAGGGTGGGGCCAAAATGGCCGACCCAAGTTTTACATAGGAATATATAAGAAAAATCTTTAAAAATCTTCTTCTCAAGAACCACTAGGAGGGAAAGATGAAACTCATGTGGAATCATCCTCAGGTAGTGCAGATTCAAGTTTGTTCAAATCATGACCCCCGGGGCTAGGGTGGGGCCAAAATGGCCGACCCAAATTTTACATAGGAATATATAGGAAAAATCTTTAAAAATCTTCTTCTCAAGAACCACTTTGCCAGGAAAGATGAAACTCATGTGGAATCATCCTCAGGTAGTGTAGATTCAAGTTTGTTCAAATCATGACCCCTGGGGCTAGGGTGGGGCCAAAATGGCCGACCCAACTTTTACATAGGGATATATAGGGAAACCTTTTAAAATCTTCTTTTCAAGTACTTCAAAGCTATGATTAGTGATATTTATATGGAATCATCCTCAGGTAGTGTAGATTCTAGTTTGTTCAAATGATGAACGCCTGGAGGGGGGGGGGGAGTAAATTCAAGCCTGATGTGCTCAGGTGAGCGCTGTGGCCCCTGGGCCTCTTGTTTTTATTTTACAATGTAATTTTTTCTCTTTATATTGATTATAAAAAAATTATGCGTCTTAATCGGAATACACTTGTTGTAAACGTTTGTCTAAATTCTATGTGTTAGAAACAAGTTTTCTCACCAATCCACGCTCCTATGGAGACCTTTATTGATGTTTTCGTTGTTCTCCATTTCAATGATTTTACTGGATACACAATGGCCAGGTATCTGTCAATGGTCATCGCCATCAATGTCCAGCACGTCACATGCACTGTTATCTGTGTATAAAAATTAATATTGTATGCAGGGATATTGTGTTTATTTTTTTTCAACGTTTCTGTCCTCCTCAAAAGACTAATTTTAAAAAAAGGGAGTAAATTCAGCAGAGACAGACTTAGCTAATTTTTTCAAAATGCAATTTTGCAAATGTGTCATTAGTAGTATCTAACTGTATACAATACAGTTTCTTTTGTGATCAATTCCTAATAAACTATTTATTGCTGTAGAAAATAATTTAATGTATTTTTACAACGGACTTTTAAAAATGTGTTAAATTTGGGACCAAGTTAATCCAGTTATCGATTCAAATGCAGAATTTGTTTTTAACAAAGTTTAATAAAGAAACATTGCAAAACACAAATATTGCTTTGAATATATTTGTAGGAAAGTTGATCTATTTCCAGTCTTCTGTTTGAGCTAGACAAACGTCGTAATTAATGCATTTCACATGTATAGACACGCATTTCAGTCCCACGTGGATCAAGATATTGTGGGACATAATATAGTTCACGGTATTTAAAAGAGAGGCTTTTTAATCACAAATAAACATACGTTTTAAGTACGTATACATAAATATTCATATTCCTTAACTTACAAACTGAAGAAAAGCGAGAAAAACCATCACTGCGTCGCCAAACTTTACCAGAACATTGATCTTGCGGAGAGAAAAGTTATAAGGCACCACTGTAGTTAAAAAAGCGAGATCTGCTACTGCCAGGCTCAAAATGTAGATAATAGTCGCTGATTTCACTGAGCGTCTGTATATAACGTATATTGTTAAAGTATTTCCCACACCTCCGACTATAACTATCACAATCCAAATAATAATTAGTGGAATTTTGGCCTCAGAATTATCAGACATAGTCATGACACCGTTAATCATTGTGGAATTATTCATCTTTCTACATTAATGAAAGTCTTGACATCGATAAGACACAAACTCTTTTCAAATACTAGTTCTCACTGCCACACACGTAGAAGTATTATTTGGTTTAATACTATTGTTCCATCTCGGCGAAGTAATATTATAAAGATACACAGCCCACGCAATGCAGACAGCACAGACATCAGTTTTGTATATCATCGCCTTCTACTTTGTGCAAAATACAAGTAAAACACTGTCTTAAACAGTTCTTTTATTGTTGTGCAAATTTAGAGAGTTTATTTAAATTTCATTTAAAGCAGTCTTTGGCGTAGGCAAGCTTCTAAAATCATTAATGACATTCGTGCCCGAAGAGTTTTCGCAAAGTTTGTCACTATATGTCAAAAGTTATTTTTGAATACAGTAGCGTGTTCCTTACTCTTGAAAATCAGGGGAAATGAACACAACAATAAGATATAGAATGATTCCAGATATAAATACATAATGATGGAGTTATTTGGGTTCCAATTTACATAGACCCATTAATGGCATTTGTGATGTCAATGCTAGAGACAGCAAATGTAAAGTACCGCATTACATTAATTATTTTAAAGAAACACATTATGCATAGTTCTTCTCTTGGATATCAAAAACTCAGACTGTTTCGGGAATGAAATGAAAATTAAGCCCACTTTCCAAATTAAAAAATAAAACCAACAGGTTCTGATTTAATATATCCTCGTGGGTGTAATTCAAACTACTTCATATCTTTGAAAATCTTTATTCTTGGGCATTTACCGTGGAGGGAGCAAATTATGTATTGTGACAAGTCACTCACCACAATTTGTGAAATTTGTACTCAATAATGTAGGTCCAAAGCCGGGACCTACTTGATTATCTTTGCATATTGGACAGACATGTGTTTTGAAAGTATTTTGCACTTTAGATAGGGGACAATAGTTCCCAAATAGTCAGTATATAAAAGGATTTCCAATGACCATTTTTCAAAATTATGGCACCTCAAGGTCAAGTTTTTAAATGTAGATTAAAATTCAAAAAATGTTAAACCCAAAGAAAGAACTTGTCACAAAGAAAACACCTGTGAAATGTAATAGCCTTGGTATCAATGTCACAGTAAAAAAATTCCAGAACGTAGATAATACTAGTACTTTAAGATCAATAAGGACAAAAAATAATGGTACCAAAAGAGCCTTGTAAAAAGAAATTCTTATGTGAACTAGAAGTACTGTGAGCGATGAGCTCACTTAATGATATATATGATATATATATATATATATATATATATATATATATATATATATATATATATATATATATATATATATATATATATATATATATATATATATATATATATATATATATATATATATATATATATATATATATATATATATATATATATATATATATATATATAATGGAAGTGTCATTGATTTTCTATGGGAAACCCAAAAGATGTGACGTAATAAAAAGTAAAATGATAGGGGGTGCACAATGCCAATAAGTAATAAAGATTCTGTGAAAGTTTCATCAAATTTCATTCAGTGTTATGAGAGAAGTTGTGGATAAGAGATGGGTACCTCAAAGCGTAACAAAGGGACGGACGGATATCCCGATTACTACATACCCTCCCGCTTTTCAAACGGGGGGTATGAATTTGAAAGCCCTAGCAGCACCAGTTCAAAGGTTCTAAGCAAGGTTACAGTCTTTTAATGTTGGTGAAACTTTAAGTCTATGAGTCATAAAATGTTTGTACCCCCCAGTAGAAAGGCCTTATAACAAAGAATACACATGATATGTATGAAAGTCCTTGAAGTTATGGCAAATATTAAAGTTTTTTTTCAAAAATAGGTCAAAATTAAAGTCTGGGATTAAAAATATTGGTACGAAATGAAAGATCTCGACGCTGGAACGCTCTTCTGGAGCTTGAAAGATCTAGCTAGAACTGTTCAAACGTTATGGTCACGGTTAAAGAATAAAATAATCAAAAATAGGTCAAACTCCAAGGTCAAGGTCAAAAGGTAAAATATATAATACTGTTACTCAAATAAAGGCCTTGTCACAAGCAATATACATGTAAGATATAACAGTCAGAGCACTTATTGTTCAAAATTTATGAGAAGGGATAAAGTTTTTTGCGGAAAAACAGAAGACAAAAAGACAGACAGAGCAAAAAATTATATTTTCCCCAATCTTATTTTAAAAGAGGGTAATAAGCGTTTGCATAAAAACACAGATTTTTAGTTCTCAGTTGCTTGTGAGGACAAGAAAAAATGATTAGACAAACTAAACTAATTGCTGAAATGAATTTGCTAAGATATACACGACACCAAGTGTAAGACTCATTGATAATCCAATAATTCTAATCAATTTAAAAAAGAAATAAAGATGTCCTAAATATGACTATATTTAACAAAACAAAATCTTCAATATTGTTTCTGAAGTCGCTGGTTTGGATTTCGGTAGAATCAGCACAAGTTTTGTCTTCTCCTGGATACAGTGCTACTAATGATGGAAAACCTTTTTCCAAGGCTATACCTTAACAAGTGTCTAACTATACGTTCTTTAGTGTTTTGTGTAAGAAAAACTTGACAATCAGTTCCAAATCTTGTTTCCCTGTTGTTTTGTTCTTCATCTAAAACTCATTTCTAGTTATGCATTATAAGTCATGAGGCAAATTTTATATTTACTCCTTTACATTTAATTTCAAGTTTCCACTTTAGAATGAAAATATCCACTTTATTTAACTTACCAAAGGAAAAAATAATTAGTATTTCATCAATAATTCGTCGATCAATAAGGACGTAACTCAAGTGTCAGGAGGACCTTCTCAAAAATAGACAAGTCAGTTGGATCGTATGTTACAGTAACAAGAAATTGAAACGATTCTACTGTAGGCACATGTATTTCTTGGACTGATACAATTTCGCTGTTGTAGGGACGCAAAACGATCAAATAATACCCATTAAATGTATAGCAAATATATACAAATCAGACCTTCAACAACGCATTTTAAAGTTGCAGAACATATAAAACCGTACCAGCAACGAAGGAAATCAATTTTATTCAAGAAAAATATTTGTTACCACAAAAACCTCTTTCTTTCTGCTTCCAACGATAACCAAGAGTAATTATAACATTGACCATCACATAGTTTTCTTTCTAATGGTAACAAAGCAAAAGAAGTTTCAGTTTAATGGATTGTCGCAAAGTGTTTCAAGATAAGGGGGATTTTAAAGATCAAATTCTCTCGAATTTTTAGAACTATATGAAAAGATATGTAGATTCGTTCAACAAGAGTTCTTTAGTCTAAACCATCTTTCACTCATTCTCAATAGGGCTATCTGCCATTCATTTGTTTTATCGTGAATATGTTTTAATTTATATTTTTTGTACAACTGAATAACACGCTGCATAATAGAAACTTTAATAATATACATTCATATGAGTATGTGTTTGAACATGAACAAAGAAATTATAATTTTCAGCAGTAAGTGTACCGTTTGGTCAATTTCTAAACACGACCATGCTTTCTTTTTAATTTAGTTGCCAAAGCTTTTCTTATTTTCTTATTCATAAACGCATACACAAAAGGATTTATGCAAGAATTAGCGTACGATAAAGTGCTCGCATATATTCTGAATTTATGTAACTGTAAAGAATATGTAAAATTGGGATTTAGATTCCACAACATGGCTAGAACTTGCATCGGCCCCCATGAAAAAGCGAACAGGAGAATTAAAACAGCCACCATCTTGACCACTCTTCTGGTTTTCTTCAAAGTATTTGTTCCCCCTGTCTAACAAAAAGAATCGAGTTACTTTCTGTTTCTGATATTTAATATGAAAGACTATGGCTTCTTTACCAGTAAAAGTTTTAGGCGTGCAAAAGATTTCACAAAAATGAACGACAAATCACGAAACAAGTACATGTATAAAAGTTCTAAAGCTCTTTGAAATGGAAGGTACTAGGACTTTCATATTTCACAAATGTATTGTTTGTGGCAAGATCTTTCATTGGATACCAACAACCTTGACCTTTTGACCTTGACCTTGGAGATTTACCTATTTATGAAAAAACGTTAACCTTGACCATAAGTTTTGAACGGTGAGGACTAAGGCTTTCGTACTTCACATATGTAATCCTTGTGAGAAGACCTTTTATTGGATACCAAGAACTTATACCCTTTGACCTTGACCTTGGAGTTTTAACTACTTTTTAAAAACTTTAACCTTGGTCACAACTTTTAAACAGTAGATACTAGGACTTCCATATTTCACATATGTATTCCTTGTTGCAAGACATTTCATTGGATACCAACAACCTTGACCTTTTGACCTTGACCTTGGAGATTTACATACTTATGAAAAAACTTTAACCTTGACCATAACTTTTGAACGGTGAGGGCTAGGGCTTTTGTACTTCACACATGTAATCTTTTTGAGAAGATTTTCATTGGATACCAACAACTTTTACCCTTTGACCATGACCTTGGAGTTTTAACTACTTTTAAAAAAAACTTTAACTTTGGTCACAACTTTTGAACGATAGATACTAGGACTTTTATATTTCACATATGTATTCTTTGTGGCAAGTCCTTTCATTGGATATCAACAACTTTGACCTTTTGACCTTGAACTTAAAGATTTACGTTTATGTAAAAACTTTAACCTTGACCACAACTTTTGAACAGTAAGGGCTAGGGCTTTCATACTTCACATATGTAATCCTTGTGAAAAAACCTTTCATCAACAACTTTGACCCTTTGATCTTGACCTTGGAGTTGACCTACTTTTAAAAAACGTTTTTTTTGGCCATAACTTTTTAATTTTACAATATATTTTTTTCATCCTTCAAAAAAATCAACTTCAATGATAATTTCTTAATAAATGAAATAAGATAGGATGTTCATATTAGACACAATATGTCATAAAAAATAAAATCTCACCAACAAAGACACCGAAAGCGGGGGACCACAATTCTTTGAATTTGCTTGTTTACAAGTAATTTTAATGAAAAATATGACGGGAAGTTAATATTTTTAGTATTCCTCTTAAGAATATAAAGAAAGGTCACGTTTCGTCACAGTTTAAATTTACTTTCATTTTTGAAACGTCATAATAAAATTCAAAAGCGATAATGAAAAAAAAAATGAAAGTTCTAATACCCGAAATTAGAAATACCTTTCTTGGGGACATTTTTTTTTTCAATAGAAAAAAAACAAAATCGAATTCCTATATATCAAAATGGACTTTAAATCAACTTCGGAATTTAAGCGTTAAACGAATCATTGAAGTCATCCCAAAAATGACGAACGCTATAGGTTCTCGAGAAAGCTGTGTACCTGGTGATTGGTCACTAATTACTGTATATACACAGCCACGAACGATTACAGGTATTTTACAGGTGTAGGCGAGGGCACTCTAATTATCGCATGCACATTCAAGTTATTTTTGATACGTTTTCAATAACTATAATTATGTACTTTGGAATAAGAGAAAATACATCCCAGAAACCGAGTACCAGTTTTAGTATTCGGTAGTCGGGCGTTCGATCAAGTACCTGGTTAACCGGGTACTAGTTGACATCCTTAATATAAATATATGAAAGAAACATTACTTAATATACCTTTTGAAGCATCTCTTTGTTTCTTTTATATATGACACTGATAATTTTCACGTAACAAATTATGATAATAAGCAGAGGAATTCCGAATGACGTCAAAAAGATGTTAACCGCTACCGCATCTAAGAAGTCCGAGTCATGTGTGTAGGGGAATGCAGTTGGCATCGACAAAAGAGCAGACACTACAAAAGATTAAAAACGTGTTTTTTAATTGTACTTTTTAATTTATCATTTTATTGGACAATATATTTTTTCTCGATATATTTATTATACAAATTTATATGTATTAATCTAAGTAATATTGTTGTAGACGTTTTTAAAATTCTTTGTTATAAACAGGTTTTCTCACCAATCCACACTCCTATGGAGACCTTTATTGATGTTTTCGTTGTCCTCCATCTCAGTGATTTTACTGGATACACAATGGCCAGGTATCTGTCAATGGTCATCGCCACCAATGTCCAACACGTCACGTACACTGTTATCTGTGTAAAAATTACTACTGTATGCAGGGATATTGTGCTTTCATTATACACCCGCTTGAAAAGCGAGAGGGTATATAGTATATGTCCGTCCGTCTGTCTGTTACGCTTTGAGGTACATATCTCTTTTCCGCAACTCCTCTAATACCACTGAATTTAAATTGATGAAAGTTTCACAGAATCTTTATTACATATTGCCATAGTGCACCTCCTATTTTACTTTTTGATCCGACACATATTTTAAGTTTCCCACAGCAAAATATGGACACTGATGGCGGGGGTACCATTTAGTGAGCTCATTGCTCACAGTACCTCTAGTTTATTTTCCATGTTTCTTGTCTAGAATAGTTTTTTTTTTAAAGAAATGGGAATGAATTCAACAGAGACAGAATTATCTCTCTTTTTCAAAATACAATATTGCAAAATGTGTCATTAATTAGTACCTATATACAATACAGGTTTTGCTGTGATCAATTTTTCTAAAACTATTTATTGCTGTGGAAAATATTCTAATGCTTTATTACAAAGAAGTTTTAAAACTTACGCACTTTGAAAAGTTTTCTTAAATTGCATTACTGTGGGACTAAGTTAAACAAGTTTTGGATTCAAACGTTGGTTAATAACAAAAATTTAATTAAAAAATAAAAATATTGCTTTGAATATAGAAAAATTGATTGTGTGCGAAGATTTTCATCACACGCTAACGCGCATTTCTACATTTGTTTCCACACACCGCTGCAGTTATGAGACTATGTCCTTCAAAAATAATAATTAACTACTATATTACTTACAAACTGAAAAAAAGCGAGAAAAAGCAATCCTGTGTCTTCAAGCAATACCAGAACATTGGTCATGCGTTGAGAGAAGACAAAAGGCACCACTGTAGTTAAAAAAGCGAGATCTGCTACTGCCAGGCTCAAAATGTAAATAATAGTCGCCGATTTCACTTTTAATCTCCTTATAATGTGTACTGTTAAACTATTTCCAACACCTCCAACAATAACTATCAATATCCATAAAATGACTAGTGGTATATTGGCCTCAGAAAAAGGAAACATAGTTATGGTATCGTTCATCGTTGTGGAATTATTCATCTTATTCATCTTTCTAGCATTTACGAAAGTCTTGAGATCAATAAGTTACTAACACTCTTTTCAAATACTACGACTTACTGCTTTAAATAAAATTTTAAATAAATTTTCTAAATTTGTGTAACAATAAAATAACTGTTTATGATAGAGTTTTACTAGACGTATTTTTGCACAAAATATCAATCGATGATATACAATACTGATGTTTGTGTTTTCTGCATACAGTAGGCTGTGTATCCCCAAATATTTGAATTTTTCGAATTTTAATTGAAAAATTCAAATATTTGTAGAGGACATATCATATGGAAAATAATTGGTAAAATTTACACATTTTGTTTCTTAAGCGATTTCTTTTTTATTTTCACTTGTGATGCTTGCATATCTCTATGACTAATCATGTGCTGTTTTCTTGAGAAGAATTTCAAAGATCCCCCAACAAATTTCAAGGTATCTTATATTCTAGGTTGAACTCCCCTTTGGAGGTTCATTCTTGCATAAGAGGAAATTATTTAAACCAAAATGAAACACTTCTTAGTTTTTCTGGAGTTATTTTCTTGCCAAGTGTGTTTTGGGCAGCAAGACAATTAAAATCTATTGTCGTAAATGTTGAGAATTATAGACTACACTCGACATCCCAATAGAAAATCTGCAGTCAAAAGAAGGTCATTTGAATCTTTGGTGTACGTTAGCTTCTAAAATCAGTCATGATATTCGTGTCCCATGAGTTTTCACAAAGTTTGTCACTATATGTCAAAAGTTATTCTTTCAACACAGTAGAGTGTTCTTTACTCCTAAAAATCAGGCAATTAACACAACCTAAAGATATAGAATGATTCCAGATATAAGAATTAAAATACATTATAATGGAGTTAATTGGGTTCCAATTTAAATAGGCCCATTAATGGCATTTGTGGTGTCGATGCTAGAGACATCAAATCTAAACTATTGCATTATACTAAATATTTAAAGAAACACATTATGCATAGTACTTTTCTCTTAGATATAAAACACTCAAACTGTTTCGGAAATGAAATGGAAATTTAGAGCACTTTTCAAATTAAAAATAAAAATAATAATAAAGCAGTAGATTATGGTTTAAGGTATCCGCGTCGGCCTAATTTGGTCATAATTCAAACTACTTCATACCTTTGAAAATCTTCCTTCTTGGAAATTCACAGTGTACGGAGCAAATTATGCATTTATGTATTTTAAAAATATTTTGCACTAGATATAGGGAACAGTGATTCTTAAATAGTCAGAATACGAAAGGATTTCCAAATATTTTTTTTCACAAGTATGGCAACTCAAGGTCAAGTTTTCAAATGTAGATAATATTAAAAAAAAGTTTATACCCAAAAAAAGAATTTGTCACAGAGAATACACCTGAAAAATGTAATAGTCTTAGTACTAATCGTTAAGAAAAGATCAAAGTAAAAGTTTTCCAAAACGTAGGTAATATACTCCAATGTCATACGGAAAAAATTAATGGCATAAAAAAAACCCTTGTAACAAGAAATTAAAATATGAACTATGAAAGCCCTAGCAGTATCTGTTCAAAGGTTTTAAGAAAGGTTAAAGTTTTTTAAATGTTGGTGAAACTTTAAGTCCATGAGTCATAATTGTTTGTACCCCCCCCCCCTCTCCAATACAAAGGGCTTATAACAAGGAATACACATGATATATATGAAAGTCCTTGCAACCACCGTCTCTCAGTGAAGACGTTATGGCAAACGTTTAAGTTTTTCAAAAGTAGGTCAAACTTAAAGTCTGAGATTAAAAATATTGGTACGAAAGGCAAGATCTCGACGCATGGAACACTCTTCTCGAACTTCAAAGCTCTAGCTACGACTGTTCAAAGGTTATGGTCATGGTTAAACATTAAAAATTTTCAAAAAATAGGTCAAACCCCAAGGTAAAGGTCAAAAGGTAAAATATATAACATTGTTACGCAAAGAAAGGCCCAGTCAAGAGCAATACACGTGTGAAATATAACAGTCAGGGCACTTATTGTTCAATAATTATGTGCAGGGATAAAGTTTTTGCGGAAAAACAGAAGACAAAAGGAAAGACAGAGCAAAAAATTATATTTTTCCCAATCTTATATTAAAAGAGGATAATTAGTGTTTGTATAAAAACACAAGGTTTTCAGTTCTCATTGTATTGTATTGTATTGTTTATTACCAAGAACCATACAGTTCATAGGTTTAACGTATATACATAAATCAGTTGTACAGTATATGTATAACATTTCAATTGTTTGAACATTAAGTAAAGCAGGATCATAGAAAAATTTTACAAACTATTCATTCTAAATTCATAACGCAGAAAAAGCACAATAATATAAGTTTAGTAATAGTAGTAGTGAGGAGTCGTAATATCAATTCAATTTACATCTGCTCTTAATTTTGTACATTTATAAAGATATTTTCCCAGTTTACATAACTCTGTTACATTTTTTGTCGACAACAATTGAACAAGTTTAAAGGTAGAGGGTTTTTGGTGATAATATTTCTTAATATACTCTTTTCTAACTTTAGAAAAAAATGGACAAACCAGAATAAAATGATACTCGTCTTCAACCTCTGACATTGAACAAAATTTACATAATCTTTCTATTCTCGGAATATTAAAAAATCTTCCTCGCTCTATCTCTAGTTGGTGAGAAGACAAAATATTGACTGATATGTTGTGCATATTTTTGTGATATTGACTTTTTTAAATATAATTGTAAATCAAAACTATCACTTAAATGCTTATACAAAATGCACTTCGGAGAACCTTCAAAATAACTTCGTGCTTCTTGTATGAACATGTCATCCAATCTTTGTTTCACCTCAAACAAAAAAAGTTTTTCATTAAGATTATTTTTAAAATCCATGTATAACCAAAGCCTAATGTATCAACAAGTTCTTTTATATGTGACAACCAGCAAGGAAAAGTGTTAGATTCACACACATCTAACATTTCTTTGTATATATTTCTTAAAATACAATTATCGCTATTTTTTAATTTTAGCCAATACTTCAGCATTCTAAATTTTCTGTTCCATTGTAATGGTTTCTGTCCTAGTTCAAAATAAACCATAATAGATGTGGTGCTTTTTTTAACACCTAGTACTCTTTTACAAAAATCTGAATGGATACTTTCCAATTCTCCTGCTGGGCGAAACCCCCAAACTTCGCAACCATAATTTGCTATACTACCAATATATGTATCAAACAATGACAATTTAGTGCTTACATTCAAATACATTGGTTTCATTTTTGTTATTAAACTACTTAGACTCTTTCTACATTGTGCTGCTAGTACACTTTGTGTTTTGTTAAATTTACCATTATAATTCAAAGTTATTCCTAAGTAATTGAAATTTTCAACAATATCAATCAATTTGTTTTCGTACTTCCAACAGTAATTTTTCTTCAATCTACCACCTTTTCTAAATACAACAATTTTAGTTTTATCCACGTTAACTTTAAGTTTCCACTTTGCTGTATATCGCTCTAAACAAGTGAGCATATCTTGTAAACCTTGTTCTGTCTCTGAGAAAAGCACAGTGTCATCTGCATACATGATCAAAAACATAGCAATATCTCTTATTTCTGCGGGAATACACATATTCTCTATAAATTCCATCTCAAAATCATTAACATACAGAGAGAACAAAAATGGAGAGAGAGATTCTCCCTGCATCAGACCCTCATGGCAGCTAAAAAATTGGGAAAATTGATTTCTGTGTCGTACACAAGATTTTATATTAGAATACAAAGATTTAATAATATTCAGTTCTCATGCAGTTGCTCGTGAGGACAAGAAAAAATGATTAGACAAACTAAACCAATTGCTGAAATCAATTTGCTTAGATATACGTGACACCAAGAGTAAGAGTCCTTGATAACCCTATAATTCTAATCAATTTAGAAAAGAAATTAAGATGTCCTAAATATGACTAATTTTAACAAAACAAAATCTTCAATATTGTTTCTGAAGTCAGTGGTTTGGATTTCAGCAGAATTAGCACAAGTTTTGTCTTCTCCTGGATGCAGTGCTACAAATGATGGAAAACGTTCCTCCAAGGTTAACGTTACACCTTAACAAGTGTCCAACTATACGTTCTATGGTGTTCTGTGTAAGAAAAACCTGAAAATCAGTTCCAAATCTTGCATCCCGCAACTCCTCTTATACCACTGAGTGAAATTTAATGAAACTTTCACAGAATCTTTATTACATATTGCCATTGCGCACCTCCTATTTTACTTTTTGATTCGACACATATTTTGGGTTTCCCGGCCACAGCAAAACATGGACTTTGTCATAAACATGTCATATGGGAAAGACCGGGGGGGTTATTTAGTGAGCTCATTGCTCACAGTACCTCTAGTTACACTTGCGCTCTCTTAAGTTCTATATCTGTGCAATTTTGATCAAAATAACCTTTATATCGAAGTTTAAGGGGGCCAACATCTCACAGACCAGGTATTTTTTAAGGTTTTGCTTTAAATATTTTCCTTTAATAAAAAATAATCAAATTCAGTATTAAACGTCTTATAAACTGAATGAGTAACTGAATATTAAGTTCTATCTATTTAGAGACCTTTTTTTAAAATGGATTAATGTACCATGTACCAAATATGTGCCAAATATAGAATTTTCATTGGTATTACGATACATATTTTCCAATAAAACTAGAGGTACTGTGAGCAATGAGCTCACCAAATGATACCCCCCGCCTCCCATATGCTTATAATGGCAATGTCCATGTTTTGCTGTGGCCGAGAAACCCAAAATATGTGTCGGATGAAAAAGTAAAATAAGAGATGCATAATGACAATATGTAATACAGATTCTGTGCATGAAAGTTTCATTAAATTTCACTCAGTGGTATAAGAGGAGTTGCGGATAAGAGATGGGTACCCCAAAGCGTAACAGACAGACGAACGGACATACCGCTTACAGTATACCCTCCCACTTTTCAAGCGGGGGTATAAAAATATTTAAAAGAAAGAGAACTCTTACTTAAAAATGTATTCATTTCTTACAACTATATGTATACACAACATTGTGATATTCTGACCGAGGAAGCA